CTGCTGAAAGCTTTCAAATGAACTGTTCCATTATGAAAAATAAATATTTAATTCCATGCCAGAGAGTCTCAGCCATGGCTTGCCTGCTTTGTGCTACTCCAGTTCATTATAAAAGGCTCAATTCTCTAGAGCTCACCAACCTGCAGAAGTCCTCCAAATCTGGTCTCGTAACAGCTGAGCCACTGAATCCTGATTACATTTGTCAGTCTTGGCTACATGACTTCTCCTCCCATAGCCTGGCACTCTATCAAAGTATCATTTCACACCATCCTCAAATTACTTTTATATGCCTATTTCTGGAGATAGTCTCAGGAATGCTTACCTTTCCTTTGGCTAAATTTTGGTGGACATGGCATACTAGAGCCTTCAGCTTCACACTGGAAGTAAAATGTTCTAAAAACTCACCACATTCCCCCCCAACTTGGGAAAGGATGCTGTAATTGCTGCATAGAAAGAGAAGACAGAGGACTTGGATCCCCCCTCTGTCACGACTCACTGTGTGCCTTAATTTCCTGTGCCTCCCCTTTTCCAGGTCTGGAAACCAGACATTGTGCTTCCCTACCTCTCTATAAACAATCTGAAATCCAATGCTGCACAAGGGCCAAATATGACTGCTGCTTGACGCCACTGCCTTTACTTCCAAGTGCCAAGCTTCCCAGATGGCAGCATAAAGACGTTGTTTCTCAATGCTGGTTTCTATGCAAGGTGCCCTGTCCATGTATGGACAGAAGTCAGGGAAAAACATGAGGAGATACAGCACTGGGGCTCTCTCTGGGAAGAGAAGGAAGAGATGATGAAGAGAAGGAGGTGTAATGGAAAGCAAGTTGGAGCATATGTTACTTCCTAATAAAATTCAGGGCTTTTTTTGCCAGTATCTCTAAATTGAGGTGGCTAGTGCTCTGCCTTTCCTCATCCTGCCCTCGTACGCTTCTGCTGAATTTAGCTGTGAAGGGAACGGGGAAACAAAGCCAATTTTGCTTCCCTTTTGCGAAGCAGTTAAGAGATCCTGAAACGTGGATAGCATATGAACTGGATGTCATATTCCAGAATTTGAACACGTACAGACACTCCACACAAATCAGAAAAGCCCATGAGAAGCTTTGGTTTATACACACAGACAAACACTGCAGCAGCAATTGGCAGAGATGATACTGCTGAGATACTGTGCTGCAGCCATTACATACCCCAGAAACACTGGGTCTCAGCACACCAGAAAGAAAAATAAATAGGTAGAATTGCATCATTTCGCTGGCACTAAACAAATCCATCACAGTGATGAGGGCAGAGCTGCTGCCTGCCTGGCTGAGAGCAGCAGCAGGTCCCAAGTGAGGGATACCACACATTCAAAGGGGGGAGAGGGAAGGTACTGGACTGGCAGCAAGGAAATGTAGAAGAAGGGGCTGTCTGTAGATCTCCTCCTTTTCTTCAGGGCCAGAATCCCTCAGCACTTTTTTCATTTTTATTTTTAAAGTCTCAAGTATGTTCTAAGCAAGGTTAATTTAGTAATTTGGTTCCTTCCTAGCAGTACTAGGTCATTTGTGTGTTTTCATTCTCCTGCACTGCTACAGCAAGCAATAAATTCAAGGTCAAGTACTGGGTATGGTTAAATCTCCAGCAAGCCAATTGATAGTGGATGGCTCTCAGCATTTGGGCCATGGAAGCAAAGCCTCCTCCTTTTGTGCTGTCATTGGACGGTTTGCCCTTGCTTAATATTTTATGAAAAATATGTGTCATCTGTTCCTTGATGTAGGAACAGAAATGCAGTTACAGAGGAAAAAAATAGCAAAGTTTGCATGTTTCTTGTTAACAAACACATTCAAATCCCTTTGGAAGGCGCGATATCCTTCACTACAATGTCTCTGGTGGTCAAAGGCTCGATATCCTTCACTACAATGTCTCTGGTGGTCAAAGACTGGAATTGTTTGTGGCGAGGCAAGTTGAAATGATGGAAGCATTTAAAACTACCCCTAACACAAATACTGCATAATGCCCTCATTATGCCATAATTTGGGAATGCGCTGCCATTCCTGCCACTATTTGGTGTTTGCACAAAACCATCACAAAGAATTAAGAACTGGAGGTGAAGGGGCAGATAGATGGAAACATAAAGCACTCTTCCATAGTAATGCAGGATACTATGCCATCGTGGAAGACATCCAGTGCTCCCTTCTGGAGAACACGGATTTACGTCAACTTCTGTGAAGGCAGCATGATCTAGTCCTCAAGGGGAGCTGAAGCATGAGAAGGTGGGGAGAGATAGGTGCCTGTCACACTGAATGGTGAAGCTACGGGGTAACTGTAGACTGGGGAGTGAGAAGGCATCAATGCTGTGCCAGGGATCTGGAGCAACCGGAGGCATAGCATGCAGCTGGGGAACTTACAACACTCCTACTATGTGGATGTTACTAACACACTGCACCTTTAGGAAGGGCAGCATGCTACCTAGATTGGACCACAACCGGAGCAGACAATTTGGGAAGAACAAATAAGCACACTAAATGTATTTGTTTCTCTCCCACAGATCAGATAGTTGAACCTTGGCTGTTTTACCTCGGGAGAGGAGGACAGGAAAGGTTTGATGTATATATTGGAGTCGTGCACTTTCAGGTCATGGTCTCCCAGTCCTCGGGTCACTCCAATTGTTGCCATTACTCGAGCCTGGAAATAAAGAAAAGAGATGGGATCAAATCTTGTTACTTGCCCTGTGTCAACAGGGAATCAGGTAAAGTTCCTACTCTACAACTGCTACAGTTAGAGATAAGTTCCCTTTTTTCTCCCAGAAACACTAGATTTAACACAGCTAATCAACTTCTAAGCTTTTCACACTCACGTCATCACCGTTTCTCTCATTATTCCAAGCTTTGTATTCGTCCATGCCCCAGTCTGTGTACAGTCATCTTAGACTGTGGCCGTCTGTAAGGGACTGGGACGATGGAAACCCAACTCAGTTGCCTTGCTGTCCCACGGCAGTCTATGAAAGCATTACTAACAGTATAATTTGCTGAAGGAAACAGCTTTTATAAAAAGGATGAGGAGCCTGATTACTCACCTAAGAAACCTGTGGCCTCTTCCTATTGACATATTGCCTTATATTCCCTCCACCAAGGAAAAGTGCCAAAGGCCACCTTAAATCGCTGAACACGCCGGCGACAGTGGCACTGACCACAGTGCTCTCCTCTGCAGAGAGCCGGTCCAGGGCAGGTCTACTGTTACCTTGGATCTATCACTTTCTTCCCCAAGCACCTTCCTCTGCGACATGAGCTGTTTCCCAAGGGGTGCTGGGGTCTTCTGCATTAATTCCTCTCCAACAACTGACCAGGCAGACTGCCTCACGGGGAACCACACTCTCTGCTCATTGCCTCCCCCAAATTCTAGCATAGCTGCAGCAGCTTCTGAACAAGAGAGCTCACAGCATCAATAACAGCGAGCAACTGACTCAAAATGATTTTGCCTCACTAACCCCTGGCTCCATAAGGCAATAAGAAAGTAAATTAAAAAGATGTGCATGAAACGTTTTGCAAATAATTATAAAGCTAACCAAATTCAGAGATAAGCTGCAGGTCTGAACCTTCAAAACTTGGACTAATTTTGAAGAGTGTGTATTTTTGCATTGAGATAAGAACCTAATGCAGCAGGGGAGCACTATTTAGAAACACAGTGAGCATACCAATATTGGCAAACTGACACCACTGTGTCCTTATATTGATCCTATTGCTGCATCCAGCTAAGCTTGCTGGGATCAGCACTAATGATCTCACTGTTCTTAATCACGGAGCTGGAAACAAAGTACACTGCAATGGAACAGTTTGTTTCTCCCTTTCAAGAAAAACTATCAGCATTCATACATCAGAAAAATTCAACAGTGAGTTCATATACACTAGCTGAAGAAGATACGGTTTAAGGGGTGTTACACTTCCCAAATCCTGCCCTGATCTCTCCCCTTGCTAAATTAGGGTTTTACATCCCCGAGCACTTTAAAATGTTACTAAATATCCTCCTGCTTTGTTTTCAGCAAACACAAGGTATTTTGCTATCTTCATCCAGCCTAGTTATACTTTACAATGAAACCAGGAACATTTAAAGTCAATTATTTAAGACGGTCTCATTGTAGCCTACTTACAACGAAAGAAAAACAAGAGCAAACTGAACAGCAAATGACTGTTTGCTATAAAAATGCTTTTTAGTACGTTGAGCTCCCCCCGCCGCCCCCCAGACATGAGACTGATTTATGACAGAACCAAGATATTCTTTCAAGCTGTCAAAACGATAAAATAAAGAGATACTGAGTGGAAAACACTGGACTGCCACAGGCTAAATCGAGTGGTAAACAGCACAGAATTCCTCCTTCCTTTGGTCTGAGGAAAGCAAACGTGCCCACCTTCTTGCCTTCTCCGTATATAAGGGGAAACTTCAAGTCATCTTCCTCAATGGTTTTGTATGCCCTGTGGGAGGAGGACAAACAACATTTATAAAGCTTGCACTCAATTAGTGACCCAGTGCCCTGAAACAAGCAGCTGAGATTTAAAAAAAACCAAAACAACCAAACATTGTTTTTCCTAGGGACTCTGTCTTTGAACCAAGATGTAAATTTCTTTTTCTGTGGGAAGATTTTCCCTAAAGAATTACCTATTTCACCAAAAGGACAAGTGAACACAAGGAAATATCTAACATGCCAAGCTGCTCCTATGGCTTGCAAGGAAAAAGGGGTGGAGTGGTATAACAACCTAATCAGGTAGGATGTTGTTGGCTATGGCAGCAGCTATACTGTAATACAGTGTCATAAAAAAAATCCAACCAACCAACCAAAAAAAAAAACCCCAAACCAAACCCACCAAGAAGCTAACCAGTGACTAGATCCACACTGTTAACGTGAATTGGTGAGCAACGACAGGATGTGTACACAAAGTGTGAAACAGCTCTCCGATCCTATTCTCACCTTTCAGGACCGCTTAAACCAAGACAAGCTTCATGCATTGAAGAGTCTTAGAGGGGTATTTAGTGCTCATTTGACCTTGACTGCAACAGTCAAGGTTGTCAGAGATTTCACATTTCACAGCAGTTTTCCCATGGCCAAGAGACAGGAGAAGTAAATGCTCGTGCTCTGATTCTGTTTACCGCATGCCTGCGCACTCTACCTTTTACACATCCAGCTGTTGACACTGATGAGGTGAGAAGGTGAGCAATTTTGCCAGTGAGAAATAAAAAAAAAAAGAAAAAAAAGACGGCTGTCATTCTCACAAGCTGTAGAGTCCCATGGTTTGCCTAACATGTGATTCAGCTGAGGTGCTGGGGAGCCTCTTTGGTTAAAGTACGTCACCCCACAGGGACACGATTCCCTTCATACCACAAAATTGCCCCTCTCCAGCCTTTCCCTGCACGGCCTTCCCTCATGGCCCACCTCTGCCCAATGCCCACAGGGTGATAGCAAAATCATCCCTGAGCCCGCGAGTCAGCGCTCCCCACCAAAGTGGAAGGGAGAAGCGGGAGGAGGGAAGGTGCTGCAGCGGGTCCCCTGCCGGCCACCACCGGCCCCTGCTGCGTGGCTCTACAGCCGGGCTGGCTGCTTGAGCTCCGGGGAGTCACATTCAATCATGTTTAAGCAATGTTAAGGCTGTGACACAAACCAGCAGGAAATTAAAAGTTAAGGGTGAAATCCTATATTGTAATCGAACTGCCCCCTGCCGCACCGAAATACGGCATAGACCTGGGATCAATAAATGGTGCTGGATTACACAGCTATACATGCTGCATCACCTAGGCAAGCCTCAGACTTAAAGAGAGTAGCATAGACATTTAACCCCACCTTTACATTTCTCAGAAATCACAAGCAGGGCCCATAGTAGGGTTAGGGGAGGGGTAAAAAAAGAAAAAGCAAACAGAAGACAAAGAAGAAACTAGCGGAGGACTCTGGTCCTGCATTACAAAACATTACTAGGTGTGAAATCCCAAAACAGAACCAAGTAAGGTTTGCAAAATGCAGTGGGTGCTTTGTGGGACACCACGTAGTCAAGAAAATCTTGGGTATATAACCATGATACTTGAGCATCTCCATAAGAGACAATACAGTGAAGGCATTTAAATGGCATTTTGTACTGGGGAGGGCAAACAGATTAGCTCTTAAACCAAACAAAAAGGCACAAATCACTACATGTAGCCAGCATGATAATACTTCCCTGATGTTTAAATCCTGGAATAGCATTTTGTTGGGAAGGATGAGTCAGTCATGGACTTTGCTTTTGTTCCTTCCTTTGTTTCCAACAGGGAATAGCTAACATCTCTGCCTCACTCACCAACTTGGATATCCTGGTCTGAACATGGAGGAAGAATTTTACCATCCCTGACCACTCATGAACGTTCCCAAAGCTTCCAGCTGGACCTACAGTGCTGGGAGCCCTGGTGAAACCTCTTTGAGGAGGAGTCTGAACTCTTTCCTAGCCCTTGCTTATGGCCAGTTGTGCTCTGACACCACGAAAAAGGGTATCAGCCAAGTCCATATCAGGCATCAGAGTCAAATGACTAATCAAACCACAAGCCCAACAAGACAACCATTCCTACTGGATTTTTGAGTTGTACATATTTGTTACAAATACCAAACAGGACTAAGTTGATGTGACTTAACTATTTGCAACCCCCTTCTTAAAGGAAAAAACTAAACCCATTCTTTACTCACAAACTATATTATCTGCAAAATAACTACAAATACTTAAGACTGAAGCCCCCACTTTACACTGTCCTGTAAGCAGCCAAAAACGGATCAAGTTTTCCTCCTTCTCTCCCCTTCTTCCTTATATTCTCCTGCATAGCACCTCACACTGACTGCGCTTTAGGAAGAAGGAAAAAAAGAAGGTGTGAAAAAGGCATCATTTAGGCCGGTGTCCTTCAAAAGAATGGTCCCCACTGCTGAGTCGAGCATCCTTTATGGAACCACCATAAGGACCATCATCCCTAGGGCCTTCAACTGTTACACATCGCTGCAAGGTTGCCGGAAGAGACCGTGTTGCAAGGGCTGAAGCTGACTCGTTTCATCAGCAGATTAGGAAGGGCAGCTGGCTAGCCTATGACCTCCAAAGCTACGCGACCAAGTGAGGGAGCCCCAGAGGGCTACAGTGATTTGTTTTGTGGTTTCTCACAGCAAATCACCTCTTGGGCTCAGAACTTGGGTGTCAAGACTCATCTCAAACATGCTTTTTTTTTGTTGATGTTGCTATTGCCTACAAAAAAAATGATCAGCGCTTGAAAAACAATGCTCAGAACTGCAACCACAGCAGAGGAGCTGGCACAGACACGCTGAAAAGCAACCTGAGATGCTCTAGAAAAGTACCTATGTCCCGCATTACTAGCAAAACAGAATTAATAATATATGAGCGTGTGGTTTGCTGCAAGAGAAGGATGAAGGACAGCTTTTCAGCCAGCAGCTCGGCAACTGCACTGGGGAGAAGGAAGGAAGGAAGGAAGCTATGAAGTTCATTTTGATTTATGCCCTGTGAAACCTCCTGTACTTTGTACATGTGTTTATTTCACACAGGCTACAACCTTCTGGACTATTTCACTTGATTTTATGTAATAAAGTTGCATTTATACCTTCCTGTGCTGTTTAGAGCGTGCTGTATATAAAGATATAATATGGCAGTAGGTATATCAAACACAGACATACGGAGAACCTGAGGGGGTTGTTTGGCTTTTTTAGTGCCAACATGGCCTTACTCAGCCATCTACGTAATTCAGCCTAGCTCACTGTTTTAACGAACACAAACACAGGGTTGCAACCCTCCGCTCTCCCCGTCTTCCTCATCCGCATCCCAGGAGGTCTCAGTGGCCACCAGGGCATGACAAGACAGGTTATAAAGGCAAGGCTTTTTGCTGCTCTGAGCGAGCCTAAATCCTGTCAAGAGTAGAAAAGGCGAGCTTGTGCCCAGCTAGATCTAGCTGCATTTTTTTTCAGTTAACTTCGTTTCTTCTTTTCATTTCAAAAGAATTATGAAATGCTACTGCTGTCCAAAAATACTGAACTAGGGCTTGACATATGTACCACCCACAAAGTTACATTTGGACTCAGGATCAACATTTTGGAAAACCAGGCCAAATCGCACCGGGAGCCAAAAGAGATGTCAGAACGAAAGAACTAGGACTGACATGATGTTACTCATATGCTAACTGGAATCTGCTCTAAATACATGGTGAAATAATCACCAGAAGCTGCTAAATGCACAAGACAATCTACGGACGAAGTTTCCTACAGTGCTGAGGTCATTAGCAGTGCTTTAGGCACTCTTTAAATAAAAGATTACCAAAGTTACCTGCATATTGCTGGGTCAGAACTTGGAAAAACTGGTCAGCTCCCAAATCCCAGGATTTCAGAGCCAAAATGCTAGATAATTTCTTACATGTGTTATGCATTCTCCTGCCATATAATTTGTTCTTAAAACTGGCCTTCTGAAAGCATATACAAATTCATGTAAGAGTAGAAGTTGTTGATGACCAAAAAACCCCAAAATCCACACTATATATATATAT